TTTTCCTTCTTTGCTTTCTATTTCTTTAATTTTCCAGTAGACCCTTTAGCATTTCTTGCATTGCTGGTTTGGTGGAGATAAATTCCCTTAGTCTGTTTTTGTCTGTGAAGCTCCTGATTTCCCCTTCAATTATGATTGATAGCCTTTCTGGGTACAGTATTCTTGAATTCAGACCCTTCCTTTGCATGACTTTGTATATTTCTTCCCATTCCCTTCTGGCCTGATAAGTTTCTGTGGAGAAATCAGTTGCTAGTCTGATGGTGGTTCCTTTATATGTAACTTTCTGTCTCTCTCTGGCTGCTTTTAAAATTCTTTTTTTGTCGTTGGTGTTTGCCAGCTTAATTATAATGTGTCTAGGGGTCGGTTTTCTGGGGTTCATTTTGCTTGGGACTCGGTGAGCATCTTGCATTCGTGTGGGTTTTTTCTTTTCTATCTCAGGAAAGTTTTCTGTCATTATTTCTTGAAATACGTTTTCCATGTCTTCCTCAATTCCCTTTCCTTCTGGAACCCCTATTACTCTAATATTGTTTTGTTTTGTATTATCCCAAAGTTCCCTTAGACTTTTCTCCTGTTTTTAATTTTTTCCCCCAGAAGCTGTTCTAATTGGGTATTTTTTTCCATCTTGTCTTCTAGCTCGTTGATGCGGTCTTCTGTTTCTTCGAATCTACTCTTGATGCTTTCTATTGAGTTCTTTACAAAAGCGATGTCATTTTTCATTTCTTCTTGGTTCTTACTCATATTGTTAAATTTGTCTTCCATTCTTTTTAGCCATCTTATGATCATTACTCTGAATTCTTGCTCTGGTAGGTTGCTTGCCTCTATCTCGTTTACTTTCTTTTCTGGTGAAGCCTGCTTTTCTTTCATATGTGGGCTGTTTTTTGGTCTCCCCATGATCTAGGATGTCTTGTTGTGTAGTTGTGTCTCTCCTGCTTTGATTTAAAGGCACAAAATACAACACAACCAGGTACAACACACAAGGGACTGAATGGGTATGTGTTTGCAATATTAATAACCATCAATAAGGGTTACTAGAACCCAGCTATCAAAAACATACAATCAAACAAAAACTATAGGTAAATCAATCTTATAAAAAAAAAAACATGCAACTTCAGTATAGTTAACATTCAACATACAACTTCAAAGAGTTAGAGAGAAAGACTTTTTTTGTTTTGTTTTGTTTTTAGGACAACTGCGAGGGAGGTGTGAATGGGCTTGGAGCAAGTAGTTGGAAATTAGATATATACAAGTAGGGTGAAATTTTAGGAGGGGGTAGACAGAAGGAATGGGGAAAATCTAGAGCAGGAAAGGGTTAAGATAAACGGGGTACCAAAGGAAAAGATCGGAAAGAGGGTGAAGTCATAAAGGAAAGGTTGAGATAGAATAAAGCGTTGGAGAAGGAAAGATAGATAAAGATTGTAGAACAGTAATCCTGAAATAAAATATATATATATATATATATATATATATATATATATATATATATATATTCAAATGAAATAAAAATTATAAAAATAAACAAAAGAAAATAAGATGAAAAAGCTAACTTAGTAGTAGTAATAATGTTGATTATGTATTCAATGTAATAATTATAAAGATAAAGTCAAGTGATGAAAAAGAAAAAAAAATAGTTTCTTGAGTAAACGTTGCAAATAATGAAAACAAAAATAAAAAACAAAAATTCAAAAATTAGAAAAATTATAATAAAATTTTAAAAATTTAAATAAAATTTGCAGTAATGAAGGTCATTCGCTTCCTCTATTGTTATGATCCAGTCCTGATTTTTAGGCAGGTTTTGCTTTGTTTTTATTACACTAGAGTCAATTTGTGAATTAGCCTCTGCGGGCAGTGTTTCTAGGTTGACTTTCCAGACTCTAGATCCTCTCCATATTCCTCCCCCCATCCTCTCTGAAGCAGGAACTACTGAGGTGGGGAAGGGGCGGGTCCGAGCAACTGCAATCTCTGCAACTCTCTGATACCCCTCCACGCCAGATCCAAATGTGTTGCTCTTTAGATATCTCCCCTGTTAGGAGCCCCGTCCACTTTCACGGGTGACACCCGCCCAACAGCGGGGGTTTCTACTTGTAATCACCGCCCTTGTCCTCCAGCTTCCGCGCGCTATGTGCGAGCAGGCTTTGTTTTCGCCTCGAGTGCTCTCCACCCTCTCCCCGCGAAATCTGATCTTTTCGCAGTGGGGCACTCCTGTGAGGCCAGGTGTTTGCGCCGTCTGGGATCCACGTTCTGGAGGTCACAGTTGCTTGTTGTTCGTTGTGGCTGTTGATATTCAGGCCTCTGACACAATCCTATCCTCCTCTCAAGATGGTGAGGTTTCCCTATCCAAGCCGGTTGGTAGCTCCGGGCAGGGACGTAGCCCGCTTGGGTGCTTCCCTGTCAGGGGTACCTCTGTCAGCAGCCCCCCAGCAGTTTCTTCTGGTGTTCGCTGTCTCCCAGCTTGCTAATAAACACTCACAGCTCAAGACCATCAGTTGCTCTCTCTTTCTGCTTCGGGAGAGGGCTCAGAATCCGCCCATCTATTCTTCCGCCCAGTCAGGTGTATATTTAAAAATTCTTGAGGTTCACTGGTTGAAAATTGCTGTGCTAGGAGAAATAAGACACAGAAAGACAAATAACACATGAACTCTCTTATATGTGGAATAAAAAACAAACAAACACAAAAACAACTCCCCTTGCCCCCTTTAGCCTCAACCAAACTCATAGATAAAGAGAATAAGGGAACAGATTGGTGATTACCAGAGGCTGGTATGAGTGAAATGGTTGAAGGTGGTCAAAAGGTACAAACTTCCAGCTATAAAGTAAGTACTGTAAACTTAGAGTACAGCATGGCAACTATAGTTAATATAGATTGTTTATTTGAAAGTTGCTAAAAGAATATATCTTAAAATATATATATATATATATATAATAAATATATATATATATATACCCTGTTTTCCCAAAAATAAGACAGTGTCTTATATTAATTTTTGCTCCCAAAGATGCGCTAGATCTTATTTTCAGGGGATGTCTTATTTTTCCATGTGCTAGGTCTTATTTTCGGAGGATGTCTTATTTTTGGGGAAACACTATACACACACACACACACACACACACACACACACTAGAGGCCCAGTGCATGAAATTTGTATACAGGCGGGGGGGTTGGTGTTCCTCAGCCAAGCCTGCCTCTCCAATCTGGGACCCCTTGAGGGATGTCTGACTGTCCATTTAGGCCCGATCCCACTCCAGGACTGCTGGCTCCCAACTGCTCACCTGCCTGCCTTCCTGATTGTTCCTAACAGCTTCTGCTTGTCAGCCTGATCACCCCTAACCACTATCATGCCAGCCTTATTGATGCCTAACTGCTCCCCTGCCAGCCTGTTTGCCCTTAACTGCCCTTCCTTGCAGGCCTGGTCACCCCTAACTGCTCTCCCCTGCAGGGTTGATCACCCCCAACTGCCCTCCCTTGCAGGCCTGGTCCCTCCTATCTGCTCTCCCCGCTGGCCATCTTGTGATGGCCATCTTGTGTCCACCTGGGGGCAGGATCTTTGACCACATGGGGACAGCCATCTTGTGTGTTGGAGTGATGGTCAATCTGCATATTACTCTTTTATTAGATAGGATAGAGGCCTTGTGCATGGGTGGGGCCAGCTAGTTTCCCCTGAAGAGTGTCCCAGATCAGGGTGGGCTTTCCCTTGGGGCATGAGATGGCTTGGGAGAAGGGCCTGTGGTGGTTTGCAGGCCAGCCACGCCCTCTGGCAACCCAAGTGGAAGCCCTGGTATCTGGAATTTATTTATCTTCTACAATTGAAACTTTGTAGTCTGGAGCAAAGCCAAGCCTCCTGCTTGCTTCATGGTGGCAGCCATTTCTGTTGGAATTTATGTATCTTCTATAATTGAAACTGCGTAGTCTGGAGTGAAGTACTGAACTGGCCAGCGCTGCAGAAACTTGGCTTCCTCCATTGCTCGTGGCAACCCTGTTCTTCCAGGTCAGTGGCTGCCACCATTTCTGTTACAATTTATTTACCTGCTATAATTGAAACTTTGTACCCTTGAGTGGAGGCCTGGGCCTGCCAGGGTGTGTGGAAAGCTTGGCTTCCTACATTGCCAGGGAAACCCAAGCCCCCACTCCTGCTCTCTATGGCCAAAGCCATCTTGGTTGGGATTAATTTCCATACTCGCTCTGATTGGCTGGTGGGCATGGCTTATGGGTATAATGGAGTGATGGTTAATTTGTATATTACTCTTTTATTAGATAGGGTATATATTAGCCTTCAAAGCTGAGTACCAAAGGGTATTTATTGCTAACCCTTGAGTTAGCAGCATCCCTGATGCCCACTTTTAGTTCTCCTTCTAAAGTTAGATATATTGTAGGCTCATTTATTCTTAGTATAACTATTACCAAGGACAGATGAAGGGGTCTGGAAGGGGGCATCTACACATTTAAAATGGTGGGAACACACAGTTGTGCTTAAGTAGTTATTCACCCCCTCTCAAGACAGTTACCATTTCAGGATCTTGTCTCAACCACCCTACAAAAATGTGAGTTTGGAAGGATTACTTATGCAGTATATATTTTCCCCAGGAAATAGCACAGAGCACAGCAGAAAGGAAGAATACAGCTAATATTTATAAACACAAGAATGAACAACTGGCACCCAACAAGCATTCCTAGATTGACTGGGGACTTGAACATCAAAAGAAAGATTTGCTCTCTCAAACCCTTTTTGTAATCAAGGTTTAGTTCCTTCCCCGGATGTCTTGAAGGATTCAGGGAGTTGGGACTTTGGCCTGAAACCTATGATCCAGGAAGTCAGCAGGTATGAATGCCATGCCAACTGTGAACACCAGCTTGTAAACTCATGTCTTGTTTAGGAAGGCCCGACCTTGAGCCTGTTCACAGCTCAACTGCTGCCTGGACACCCAGGCGGAACTACAACTCCCGAGAGGCCTCGGGCACCCCCGGCCGCTGATTGGCTGCACGGCACAGGCGTAGTGGTGGCCCGATGGCTGTTCTTGGTTTGTTTTCGGCGGTCCGTGCGGCGCGGCCCTGGCAGCGGGTGGCGTGCGCGGCCGCAGGATTCCAGGGCCGCTGCCTAGGAAAGAGTTACGCTGTGAGCCGCGCGCAGGTGAGCCGGTCCGCAGGGCTTGTGGTGAGGCCAGGAGCTGAGGGAGGAGAGGCCACGGGTCCAGCCCCTCCTTAGACTCCTGGAAATGGCCGTGACTGGAATAGACTCCTGGAAATGGCTTAGACTCCTGGAAATGGCAACTGACTTCCAGTGCGTTTCATTCTTGCCTTAGGCACCTATGTTACCTGCACTCACAGCCTCCCCCTGATTCGAGGCGATTTGGCGGTCTTTGGTGGGGAAGAAAAGTTACTCCTCCCAGAGCATAAACAAAATACCCCAAACATGCACCAAGATTGTGTCTTGGCCTCTTGCCGCTCTTCGCCCCCAAAATTACCCGGCCTTTTCTGCCTACCCATTATTCTGGTCAGGGTATATGATTCATGCACTTCCTCTTTGATTTCATGATGGAAACCTTTTTTTCCTGATTTTCAACTGCATTTGAAAGAGATTTGGAGACTCATGCTAAACTCCCCTCCGGAGCTGCACTTGTAAAGGAACAACAGCCAAGAGATAAATATGGTTTTTATGGGGTCTTTTTTACTTTGTTCCCATTGGCTTGTGGGCCTGCTTGTAATGAATAGCTGTTAGGTCGGGAGGTGGGGGGAAGGTTTGTGAAAGAAACCTGGTGCAGAGTCCCTAATTTGGGCCAGATACTTAAGTGATATCTAATTCTCAATCTTGGATGTGGGTATAACCCTGGTGTTAATAAGGAAGCTGAAGTTACGAATCAAGTTTTGAAAAACTTTAAAAGGTCAAACACCTGATATACTACCATGCCAGATAGTTATATCTATAACCCTGACTTTCCCCTGAGCCACTTGGCCTTATAAATTCACAATTTCTGTATGTAATAATGATGATATTTTATATTTATAATGCTTTCACAGTAAACCTTTGATGTATTTTAAATTAAGTACTTATTTAAAAAAAATAGTACTTTGTGCCAGGCACTAAGTACTTCACAACTATATCATTAATCTATATAATTTTCATAGCAACTCCATGAGGTAAGTACTATTATTATTCCCACTTTACAGATGGAGGAACTGAGTCACAGAGAGGTTAAGCGACTTGCCCAAGGGCACACAGCTGGTAAGTGGCAGAATATGGAACCCAGGGCAATCTGATGCCAGAGTTCTAGCTCTTGTTAGCTATGTTACTGTAATCATTTTGGATATGGAACAGTTAAGATTCAAAGAATTAAGTGAGTTGGCCAGTGTCACTGAGTTAAAAGTACCCAAGCTGGAACCATAGAATGATAATATATCGATGAAAGTACTGCAAATTAGTGACATTATTATAAAGAATAATTGCCATCACTTATAATTATTATATTGATCCTGGCATCCTGAGATATCTCTGAATGATTTTTATGATATAACAGAATTTAAGAGTATTAGCATTTGAGTTAAATCATGCCTGTATCATTTACTGGCTGTTTGACCTAAGGCAAAATACTACTTTGCTTTCTAAACTTCAGTTTCCTAATATATGTAACTAGTGTGTTACTTACTATGCAGTGTTTTTGTGTGAATAAAAATACAGTACTTTTTATGACAAACTAGAGGCCCGATGCACAGATCGGTGCACCAGTGGGGTCTCTCAGCCTGGCCTGCACCCTCTCACAATCTAAGACTCCTTGGAGGATGTCAGCCTGCTGGTTTTGGCCCAATGGGGCATGTGCCCTGACCAGGATCCGGTCAAAACTGGCAATCCAGCATTCCCCAAGAGATGTAGTAGTATGCAAAGTGGCAGGGGGGAAGCCCTAGCCCAGGCTGAGCACACTGCTCCTGCTCATCCCAGTCGCACTGTGCCTGCCACTGCCTCCACTCAGTAGTATTCTGTGGAGGTAGGAGAGGCTCACTCTGAAGCTGCACTTCCCAGTTGTGAGCTGGCATCTGCCAGTCAGTCCTGCTGTGGGAGCGCACTGACCACCAGGGGCAGCTCCTACATTGAGCGTCTGCCCCCTGATGGTCAGTGTGCATCATAGTTACTGGTTATTCAGTCGCTTAGGATTTTATATATGTAGATAGATGTAGAGTACTTTGTACAGTGATTGACATATAGTAAGTTATCTCAAATGGGGGAGTGATTGGAGGAGACAGTGAAGTGGACTATAATTGTAATGCTATTGTTTAAAATGGCAGTCACCAACTGGTAATGGTGGTCCATGAGATCTGAAAAATTGGTGACTGCTGGTTTAAAACATACCAAGCCAATTCTAGGTAAAAAGCAAAGACAAAGGAACATTTAAGTAGTCCCTTCATTTCAAATTAATCTTAAACCACACATTTTATTATTGACACAATATGAAATTTAATTAGAGGATATGGCCTAATACCCAGGACTAGTTAAAAACTAAAATCAAGTAATGTAGAAAAAAAAATCAGAATACAGATTGGAGAATGAAGAGAAAAAAATGTATTCTTTGTTCTTTTCTCTAGGTACTTTTCACTTTTTTTTCTTTCTTATATTTCTTTTTTTTATATCTTCACTTAAAAGAATAGACTTTATTTTTGTAACAGTTTTAGGTTTATAGAAAAATTGAGCAGAAAGTATAGAAAAATCCCTCCCCCCAGTTTCCTCTATTATTAACATCTTGCATTATTAGTGTGGCATTTTTAAAAAATAGTTGTGTACCTTTACTTTTTATGTTGCTAAGTGTCCGCTTCTTTCTACATTCACCGTTCACGTGGGTATAGATTACTCCTATATAGTTACAGATGAGGGATCCTCAAGGATGTTGCTAAATTGTTCTGAAACCTTCCTGTTCTAACTAACAGGAATTGAAGATTCTTATGTCTAAGAGAGCAAATCTTGTGTTATTTAGAATATGGCCACATAAGACCACTAAAACTGTTGCAGCCATCAGTACAGATGAACTGTCTTTATTTCATTTTTTAAAAATATGTAAGTTTTCAGAAATCAAAAACAAATACAGCAGTTTCTCTCAAGAGATAGAAATATCAATGATGAGAATCATTGATTGGCTGCCTCCTGCACGCCCTCTACTGGGAGTGGAGCCCACAACCCAGGCATGTGTCCTTGACTGGAATTGAACCTGGGACCATTTAGTCCACAGGCTGATGCTCTATCCATTGAGCCAGCCAGGGCTAGTAGTTTCTTGAATAGTGTAATTTTGTTATAAGATTGATGAGGTGCTATTAACTTTTGTTAATATTAATTAGTTTTGGTAAAATTGGTTTCATTATCACTTTGCTTCAAGTCACAAATCTTATTAAGGATGTTAAGTGAGGAGGACATACTGTACTATGAAATCTTCCAGATTCAGCAATTATTAACATTTTGCCACACTTGCTTTGCTTAGTGCCTCCCCTCCCCCCTTTTTTTGTGCCTATAAGATTTTTAAACAAATTTCTGATTGCTTGTCATTTCAACCTTAAGTTCTTCTTTATGTACCTATAAGAAAATAAGGATATTTTAAATATAATCACAATGCTATTATCATACCTAACAACATTAGTAATTACTTAATGTTACTTAAAATCCAGTCCTTTAAAACATTTCCCTAATTGTCTCAAAATTATGGGCAAATGAGTTTTACATTTAAACTTTCAGAACAGTATGCTCTGTGTCCTACAGTACAAGAAGGAAGGTAGATCATGTGCTAGAACAACAGAGTCCTTGTAAGTGTTACCAATTCTGCCTTGGCTGGTGTGACTCAGTTTCCTGGGTCCTGTACAGCCAAGGTTGCTGATTCAATTCCCAGTCAGGGCACATGCCCACATTGCGGACTTGATTCCTGGTAGGGGGCAAGTAGAAGGCAGCTGATCAGTGTTCTGCTCTTACATTGATGTTTCTTTCTCTCCCTCTCCCCCACTCCCTTTCTCTCTAAAATCAGTAAAAATATATTTTTTAAAAAGAGTTACCAACTCTTTTCCCTTGAGAAGATATAGTGTGGTCAGAAAGTGCCTGAGGGGAAATGTCTACCTTATTTTACTTAAACCTTCATTTTGGGGGGCATTCAACATTCCATCAACCTTTATTGAGCACCTGCAAGGGTCTAAGCATTGTGCCAGATCTGGGGTTTTGAAGGCAAATCATACCCTCTTTCCCTTTAGACCTGTGTAGTGATTATCTTTGAAAATAATAAGATGATGAAATTTATAAGGAGATATGGTTATTTTGCCCAGGAAAAATCTATAGCACTTTAAGAGATTTTATGAAGAGAAAAATGAAAAGAAAACGTAACTCTTTGTCCTTTTTCTCTAACTACTTTCACTTTATTTTCTTTCTTATATTTCTTTTGTTTTTTCTTATACCTTCACTTAAAAAAGGCCATCCTGAAACCTGTCTATGGAACCCAGTTAGGACACCAATCCTAGTGGGTTTTGTTGAGGAAAAGGTAGGTGTTGCAGAGATCATTGAGAGCCATTGGGTACATGAGTATATTGAGAACAGAGAAGAACTGGAACTCAGTGGCTGGGGGCTGGCAGGAGGTGCTGGATGACCTGGTACCTCCTGGATCCCTTTTGAGCTTGGAGTTGTTGCTGTATGGTCATGTGAAGAGCTCTGATTTTACTGTGAGCTCAATTTGAGGCTGAATTTTAAAAAAATATATTTTATTGATTTTGTACAGAGAAGAAGGGAGAGAGAAGGAGAGTTAGAAACATTGATGAGAGAGAGTCATCGATCAGCTGCCTCTTGCACACCCCCTACTGGGGATATGCCCGCAACCAAGGTACATGCCCTTGACCGGAATCGAACCTGGGACCCTTCAATCCCCAAGCTGACGGTCTATCCATTGAGCCAAACCGGTCTCGGCGAGGCTGAATTTTTTAATCTAGCACTTGTGAACTGGGTCAATTTGACTAGTTTAATTTTCTCTGAATTTGGTTTCTTTTTCATTTAATTGATTATACAGTGAATACATAATGAGCACCATGTATAAACAGGATACTTTAGCTAGGTAATGCTAATTGAAGGTAATGACACCCACCCCCAAAGTGTTGGTATGAGGATTCAATAAAAATATATAG